GTCCTCAACTACGGTACTGGACAAGAGTTTAGGACCGCTTTTCTCGACGACGATTCTGTCATATGAGCTGCCATTTGGACAACGACCTAATCCAAGGCCTCGCTTTATTATCCTTATAAGAAATTATTATTTATTATCCTTATTATTATTATTTATTATCCTTATAAGAAATTTAAATATCCAATTATGCAAAAAACTGGGTACAAAAACTATTTCTGACCTTAGCATTGCGAATACTTATTGCGAAGTGTGGCCTGATCGGAATACCCTTGAGCACTCTGTCAACTATTTGTCTTCTCACATTCCTTGTGCGCATCATAAGCGAAAAGAAGTCTTCTAGTGTTGTTACCTGCAATCATGTGGGTAAGGGTGGGTAAAAAACTACGTAGATCAATGATCTGACCTGCATGGGTCGGATGACTAAATGGGTCCAGCTGGGATCCAAGAAAGCAGCGCTCCACCTAAAGGATTTATTTTTACGATGTATAATCAAGCGTTTAATGATTTTCGCACCTCTCAATATCATTCGACAAAATAAATTCACTCATTCTTTTGCCATGAGCCTTCCTGGATTCTTCACTTTCCGTAGCTGCTCGATAGAACACATCAGCGTAGTCCTGTCAAACAAGAATTTGGGATTTCTATGATTAATATTTTTTGACCCACCTCAGTGTCAAATAGATCGGCAACACGGTGGTAATTTTTCTCTCCATCTTCCTTATAAAGCCCAGATGTTGTGAACTGAACTTCTGAACCGGCACCGGTAGATAAAATGAGACTAGATTGCGGATTGCAGACTAGCATTTCTTTTGCTACCTAGAAACACAATAGATAAAATATCAATAAAAACTTTAAAAAACTATTTGGAAAAATGTGTTTCCCAGCGTCGTGGCACCTTTGCACCGCTATAGTTGATTACCGCAATCATGCATGAGATATAATGTAGAACACAATTCGTATATCTAACGCATGACCAAGCGACATTTAAGCGAAAAGCAACAGCAGTA